CATATGGTATAGAATAGTCCTTTGGGCAGTTGGGATCAACTATTCTGGCTGTGCCCCCTCCCAGTTTCTTGTGCGCCTGGCAGAGCATGGGAAGCTGAAAAAGTCCTTGACTAGCATAAGCAGTACTCAGCAACAACTAAAAACATCAGCGTGTTATCAACATTCTTCTCCTACTAAATCCAAAACACAGCACTATGCTGCTGCTAGGAAGAAAATTAACTCTATCCCAGCCGAAACCAGGACACTAGAGTAATTAGTTTTTAATAACACAAGCCTTGATCCTGGCAAGCTTCTCTCTTTGTATATAAGGTCAGCTGGAGTCAAGGGGCTCTGCTGAAGCATTTGGTTCTGAATGTGTATTTCAATCTATGTTACATTTGGATGCGGGTTACTAAGAAACCTCCAGTTACACAAAATATTCCCCTTTCCCTGGTGTATATATTTATATTGGATATATGTTTTTACAAATAGGTTTAATCTTAAACCTCAAACTGTTTAAGACCGTCCCTGGATCAAAGTACTTTGACGACCAGTTCTATTGGGAGGTAAGTTTCAATGTAAAATTAACTGTGTGGGAGCATATATAGCACCTTGTTGACCTTGATGAACAACTCTAGGTATTTGAATTTAAAAAAAAAAACAAAAAGGGGGATAATTCTATTTCATAGTACGTTTTGGATGCCCTGTTTGAAATGGATCAACTGTTCCCCCAGTTGATCCGGAGCCTGAACATTACAAATGTTTGGAGTCTTCAGCTAGGATTGCCAGAGCCGTTGGTGGGCACAGGGCTAAATCTGAAATCATCTTGTTTGTTGTAACATGTAACCTTCGGGGCTCAGACATCCGCTGGGACTGACAGCCCCGCCCTCCGTGCTTCATACACAGCTCCTGAGGAGACTTGAGCAGCATCCAAGAGGGATTTTTAGAAAATTCCAGTGAGTGGAATGGAAGGTGCTTTTTTATGCAAACAGGCCAAGCCGCCTGGCCTTCACGGCTGCAGAGTGGCTATTCAGTCCGACGCACAAACACAGCACCTTTAGGTGCTGAATGTGACGCTGTATCTGAATTACAGAAAAAAGAAATGGATGAAAATAAGCTTCTAATAAGGTTTTCCATTGCCTTTTTCATATGATGATTTGATGCATAAAATGTTCTGATGCCAGAATGTTTGTCTTCACAGTTTCCCCATTTGGCTGTTGGATTTTGAATGGAGGAACCCAGATGACAGATTTGACCAAGATAAGCTTTTCCTACTTGTCGCTAGAGAAAATTAATAGCTACAACGGGTTGAAAGAGCACTGAAGTGTCAATTCTCAGGCTCAAAAAAGCCATCCCAATGGACACACAAAAAATTAGTAACGAACTGTTCCAGTTATGCTTGAAAGATACAGGGTGTAAATTTACAGATGCAAACTTATAACATATTTCGCTTTTCTGCTTTTTTGGTCTTACCTTAAGTATTTGTTTGTAGGATATGTACAAAAAAGTTGGCTGCATTTGTTGCTGTAATGGCTTATCAGTCAAAATGCTTGGAAACTTTATTTTTAGCTCCCAAGTTTAAGAGCCAAAATATGTATTTTAAAGTATAGTTTTTCAAGGAGTACATACTCATTCTTACCTAGGGAAGCACTGAAGTACTCGTTTTTAAGCTAAATTAATTCTGTTGAAGGCCTTGTTAAGCAAGGATTTGATGAGTGAGCTGGATCAGGGCCAGAACTCTGTGTCTTGCCAGACTGGGTGCTCCGAGTTATCTGACTGCTTAAAGAAAAATCTATAATTACTTGGCTCAGGCTCTAGCTATTTCAAAGTTCAAATGGCATGAAGTTCAAGTGTTCTGCTTGTGGACGGTGCCCCTGAGATCAATGGTATTTACTCAGGATTCGGCAGCAAACCTCGGAACAGCCTGGCTGTGCGGTGACAGTCTGCACCGCCGCGGGCTCAGCTGCCCAGCAGGCTCTGGCTGCCCCACGGCTGGGGAATCGTCCTTGGTACGGCTTGGTACCAGCGCTGCGGCCCGATTTCTGAAGTGCCTTTTAGGAATTCATTCATTCCTCAACCTATGTCGAGCTGTTTTACTCCGAAACAAGCCGGGGGCTCTGGTGCACGAGCTAGGGCACGATCGGGCAGAGGATTCTGTGCAAATGAACCCTTGATTTTAAATGGATTGTGATCCTCGGTGTTTCTTCTTTGTTTCAAAATAGTTGGCATAGAAAATCCTCTTTCCAAAATGCTTACCTAATAAAAAAGTCAAAATTTGATTGTTTTTATTTATTCAGCACACTGGCTTAAAAATGAAGTAATGAGGAAAAATGTAGCGCTGAAGACAAAGCACGAGTTCTTCGATGCTCGCTACAGTAATGCGTGCTGGCCTCAGTTCATTCGTTAGGGATTAAGCAAGTCGATCACTGCAGTTAAGTGTGAGACAGGTTTCAAGTAATGAAAAATTACTCGCGGAGGAAGGGCCAGTTTTTCTTATTTCCAGGTCACAAAAGAGCCGGCGATCTGCCGAGTTCATCAGCTTCTGCCAGTGGACGGCGACGCTCAGCCTGGATACGCGCTTACACCTTTGCGTTATCTCACAGTTAAGGCACTATTACGTGGGTCATACATCCAGGCTTAGCTCGTGCACTTCACTTCCTCAACTTGCCAGTGACCAACTTCTGCAACATAAATGGCTCCTGCTGTTTCCTAGCAGGAGTGCTTTTAAGAAATAGTATTTTATTCCCTCCCTTTCCCCCACTTTTATGATTGATTTCCTGAGCACCCAGCCTAGGTGAATGCAGAGGAAGGGGCAGACAGAGGAAGAGCTGTCTCACCCCTCAAGTGAGTATGCTACAGGATCAAAATTCTCCCCAGCAGCGACTGTCCCTGTCTGAAGAGTAGTCTTCTGAAGACAGAACTCTGATCTGAAGAGTACTTTTCCTTTGTTTTACAGCAGTTAGCAAATAGTTTACAGCAAGCTTTGTGGATGAGCTACTTCCATCTAGAGCCACTACGTAATTCGTACTTGTGCCTCTACAATGGCATCCGCAGCAACGGTAAGTTGTTACTCACCAGAGACTTCCTTGTTATCATCATAGGATAAATTAAGTATTCAGGGAGGGGGAAAAAATATCCCAAAGCAGCATAGCTCTATATTATGCAAGAAAAGCCACACACCAGTAAGTTTTGAAATTGAAGAAATGGTTATATTGTCTAGATATAGGAAATATTTAATAAATATATGTTAAAAAGTTGTTTTAAAGCATTTTTAGCAAGTCTTGGGTTGTAAATAACACCATAGAAACAGCTGGTTAAATACATCTGTTTTCCACTATACTATTTACTTGTAGCAAACATATCATAAAAGTGACTTCCATCATTACTTGTAGCGATTTTACATTTGTCAAAAACATTGCAACATTTAAATCAACATACAAGAGTAAAAAAAATTAAACAGAGTAGAACCAGAATTTTTAGTCCTGTGATTTAAGTTTTCCTTGTTTTATTTTTAGACACAATTGAAGGTCACCCTTTACAAAATGGTTTTACAAAATTTGCGGAGTGTGCAGTTAAAAAAAAGCATGGCCAACGTACTTCCACACGTGTGTTCATTGCCACAAATCTTCCGTGCGACCAAATTTGAAGACCAGTCCTCTGTTTAAAACAGAATAAAGGGAGATGAGTACAGAACGGAGCAAATCAAATACCTGGTATTTTAAATACATGATTTCAGGGACCAAGTTGTAGTATTTGTAAACCCAATTCCTGGTCCTGCAACGAAACCTAGATCCCAGAGATCTACTGCCTTTACCAGCAGCTTATTCACCCGTGTCTCGTTACAAAACAGGGCTTAAGAAAAAACACATTACAGCAAGTTTCAGTTTCAATCATTATAAACAAATTAGATAAATGAAGAAAGGAAGGTAGTCTTACCCAAAAAAGATGAACGCATTCTGGAAAAACACAGCTATTCCGGGGTATACTATTGGTTTTTCTAACGAAAGAAGAGAAAAAAAAAAAAAACCTGCATAAATTTTTTGGAAGTCATTTTCAAGAATATCCCATCTCTGATATTTCAGAAACACTACGTTGCGCTGTGATAGCAAAGATAACCAGCTCCATTTAAATATGAACATTTGGAGTCTGTGCGCTGTGAAGCCGCGGTAAGGAGCTGAGTCAGATGGAGGGGTCCGTTACAACGTAGGATTCCCGACTGGCTACAGGGGTGAAGCGACAACAAAGCCTCAGCGCTGTTGCTACTACCGAACGCGTCCGCCTAAGCCAGATCCTTCCTGCGTGGGATTTAGGCAGCTCGTAGGCCCCATTCGTTCTCTAACAAGACGGTCCCCTCCGATCTGTTGCTCAGTTGTGTGACACGGAAGACAAGCGCAAGCCTCACCCCACTGGAAAGTTAATTCAATGGCTTTTGTCCTCCCAGAATCATTTAGCTTGCCAAATAAAAGAAGCCTCTCTTGTTCTCTAACCAAAAATGTGCTTCTCAAATGCAGTGCTCGTGAAGACTGTAATTATCACATGGGACTGCACATCCTGTTTGGAACACCTGTGTGTGTAAGTATGTATACATATATATTCAAATATAACGACAATATACAAAATGGGGGTGCACGTTAGTAGCGCTACTGTGCAACTAATGCACCCAGGTTTCCCTGAAAATCCCCTGTGAATTGAGTAAGGTCAAAGCTGACGAGAATGTAAATTAAATAAAACCACCACTGTGCCCTGACTAGTCTGAAATTCGCTTCAGCTCCAGGTACAAGTAGTATCTTTACATTTCCTTAAGTGACCTAACTTCCTTTTGAAAAACAAAGACTACTACACCGCAGTTTTCATGTCTTTCTCAAGACTTGCCTTCACAAAAAGTTACTGTGGTACCTGTTAAGGTATGAATTTAAATAAGCAATTTGAATTTTTTTTTTCTCCCTTTTCCTAATTTAGTATAGAGGCTTTGGGAGCAATTTGCACAAAATCATTTTTATTATAATTTTTATTCTGGGAATAATGTTCACCCTAGGAATTATTCCCATATAACTGCAGCAGTTTAATTATATCAGTACAGTTCCCAGTTGACCAAGACCTGTGTTTCTAGTGAGGCCAGTTGGAAGTTTGTGACTTAGAAGCAGATAAAATTCATCCCAATAATAGTAGATAGTATGGAAAAAAGGGAACCAAAATATTAAAACTGGGCCTGCCTAGAACCTGTCTAAAGGTAAATTCTAAAATTCAATAGTCATTTAAAATACTTTAAACTTTGAACAATGAATCTGGTCACATTCCATGCCGTTATCTTACCTTTAACAACGTAGCCTCCAAAAAGGATCCACATGGAAGCAATCAGAGATCCAAAAGCCATCATAAAACCGATGAACAGCCAGATCCGAGCACCTTGAAAAAGACGTAGGGCTGTTTGGTGCCTGTGTCCGAGGACAGACACTTGTGCCTTTCAGTGTCCTTTTGTTTCAGAGCACCCGCTGTCACACACCAGAGCCACGCACAGATACACAACGTGCACGCTGGTGCAGCTCCTATGACCCTTCCAAGACTTAAAGGCTTCACGGCTCTATTGCTATACGACAGCCTATGGCACCGTACCTGTTTGTCCCAGACAGCCTTCACTGTAACTGTCGCCCCGCACTTGTCCGTTAGACACCGCATTGATCCTGTACGAGCAGAACAGGATAAAACTGGGTAACTATAGGTAAAGCAAGAAGTAAACGTTTACAAAACAGTAGGAGAAACTTCTCAGAAACCTATATAAAAAAAAGATGATGATGTGTTTTTTGTGTTTTTTTTTAAAAAGGGACAAGACTAAACCTTAAAAAGCATTTCTCCAAAGACTAACAAGACTTGGACCTGTACTACACACTTAATTTTTTTCAAGTAGTTCCTTACTGTAAATACCAACAAGTATAAGAGAGATATTCGAGATACTCAAGATAGTAATTTGATGTGTTATTCTTAGTTACCTCTCTATTTAAAGACTATACATTCTTTTACAAATTGCACAAAATAAGTTCTAGGAGCGTGTAGCTCTGATCAAGAAATTACTTACATTAGGAACGCAATAGTGGCTATAACCCCACAAGCATGGTATGAATGGTTGAAATCTTCCACTTTAGGGTATTTTACAGCTGCATCTATGATGATCCACCAACCTGTAAAAAACTGTTGCAAAAGAAAAAAAAGCACAATAGCTTAAAATATGGA